TCTCATTCTGCTTAGAAGTATGGACTGTTCTCTGGGGTGTATGGGATATTCAGAAGAACCAACACCTCTGGTGTGAGGGCTCACCTTTTTAGGGCTATGCCTCCTGATTTGGTGTCTACCTGATTCATCCAGTTCTCACCTGTGGATCCAAGAGGCTGTGATATGTACAGTAAAACCATCTCAGCAGATGGGTTAAATCAGGTTGAGGGTAACCAATGGACCTCAAACCCATTGGTAAGTTAGGGGGATATCTACCCCAAGCTTGTGAAGACGTCCCCCGGTGGAATGGGCAGATGAGAACAACCTGTTCCAACGGCCATGAAGGAGGCTGAAGCAGGCGCTGTGGAGCTCTCAGAGCTTGGGCAGACATTGAAGATGCCAAGGTCACCCACTTTATGCTGGGCCACTGCCAAGTCATCTTGACTCTTATCTTGTGATTGGACTTTAATGACTCTGGAAGGGAGAGTGAAGCTGAGGACTTTTCACAACTCTGCCTCACTTAAATCCAATTCGCATGCAAGTCAAGACATCACCCATGGTCCACTGGCTCTCTTCAAAAGTGAAGGACAAACAACAACAAAGGTTCTCTGAGGTTCTTTCATGTATCCAGATGCTGAAACATCTCTGGGCAGTTGTTTGCTCCTTCCCTTTTCCTCTTGATGATGATGATGATGGTGTTGGTGATTTTGATGTTGATGTGATAACAATCCTAACTCATATGCCTACTGAGCTTCAACATTTACAAAGGGTTTCCCTTGCAATTAGCTGATAGGGAAAGGAGTTCAAGTTTTATTATCTCCATTTTGCAGATGAGGAAACTGAGGTTCAGGGAGGTCCATAGCAACATGATAACGAGGTGGCAGGGCTGGGATTAAAACTCAGGTCTCTTGACTACTGATTAGGATGCTTTTGGCTGCTTTGCAGCCTAAGCACCATACTTGCCAGCCAGGCGACCTAACTTTTCCTTCAACTTTCTCCCCAGCAACTTCCTGGGCATGGGTTTTGTCCTTGAGCTCCCCTGACACACATTTTATGAGTCTGACATTTTGTGCTGACCTCTGTTGATGGCTTCTGCCCTCTGAGGTGTGCCTTGTTTAGTCTTTCCCTTGATTTATGTCTTATACTCAACAGCTGCACTCAAACTAGTTCTGTGATTTGTGATCTGGCCATACTTGCATTGCCTTATCTACTGCAAAATCTTGGCTTATCCTTTGGAATGTCTCTTTTTTTCTTTTGTGTCTTTTGTTTGGTTTCCATTACAGTAATGTATTTCTCTTTCATTTTCAGTCTGATTGAATAATTACAATAGTGACATAATTTAATACCAAATTATTCTGATGAAATGGGGGCCTGAGTTCAAACGGATTAAAAAGCTTCTCATTGGAGCTTCCCCCTAAAGCCAAAATGAAAGCTTTGGGGGCTTTGCTGATGAAGGTATTGAGAAGGCAATAGTCTGCCAATTATTGAGTAAGTCCAGCCAATGTGAAGCCTAGTCAGGATAATGTGAGACCCATAGCCTATGTTAAAAAAAAATCAAGGCATTCCTTACCTTCCTTCCATTTGTAGAGCTTAGAGCATCCTCTTCTGCACTTTCCTCATCCCTCAAAAACTACTCAAAGCTCAAGATACTGTGTAGACTTGCATCCAATCAAAACCATAGCTGATGAGCCCCTACCAATATATTCATTTTTATTAGCTGGACAAAGGATGCAATTAATTCAAAGTAAAGACATTTAATGAAGTAGCATGGTAATAAATGCCATAATAGAATACTCTGACCATAAGTGTGGCACATGCTCTCCTAGAAATATGTACACCATTAGTGGGAAGAGTAGAAATGAATAGGGATTTAAGGTAGAGGACACATGTGGCCAGCGTATACACATAGAGGGACAAAAGTGGGGATTGCCGATGTGCATACCACACACACACACAAACACACATACACACACACACACAAGGGTATCTGCCACCTCTGACACTGCTGGGTCATCAATGTCTTCTGGTTGTCATCACATGACATCAGGTGTCATTACATCTTTGTTGTGATGTGGAAGGACACCTCAATGCTCCTTGATGGGTGTGGTGTTGTGTTCCATGTTGTTCCTCCCTTTTTCCTGCATTCTCTTTGATGCAGCTTGTAGTCTTCAGTTAAAATCTTCCCGTAAGAGAAGGATTTACCTCTGTGCCAAGCAGAAGCTAAGCATCAGCTCTTATAGTGAGAAGAAAGGCTCTTATGTATCCATTCACTAGACTATAGAAAAGAGACTTTCTATAAGAGAAAGGTTTTGTCCATTCTCAGAGTCTTAGCACCAGCCCTAATCCTTCTCTGAACACAAACCAATTGGCCAACTTAGGTCCCTCAAACATTTTAGACATTCTCCCTTCTAGCAAGATCAACGTCCTTAAGCCAAGCCTCTGTTTGACTTAGAGTTAGAAAGTCCCCGTTAACTCTAGTTCATTTTGAACTGTTAATCTGACTCCCTCCTCAATTAGGCACAGGGAAGACTGCATTCTAGAAACCGAGACTTAGCATTGGGTGGTTCTGATCTGGTTAATTGTCTTAATACATTGCCTTTGCTAATGCAGGGCTCGCTCCCAGAACCAGTAATACCAACAGTGAAGTGGACTCCAGCCAAGGTTGCCACTTTCTCGCCCAAGACTTTGCTTTATTCCAAAAGGAGTCTGCAGTTGTTTCTGGTCACGTTACCTGTGCCCGTCTGAATCATCAGACTTGCACTTGGTTGGATGGGTCTATGCCATGTCATAGACACATGGTGTGGAAAGACAGTAAGCCCCTCCCTGTGCTGCTGTTATCAAGTCACCCAAAAGGACTTCCATGCCTTTCTGAAAGGATTCATCCTCCCTCTCTCTAATATGCACAACCCCTCTTGTCTCTTTGTTCTCAGAAGATTAATGGGTAATTATATAACAAAACTACCAAAAATGGAAAGTATCTCTAATGAAGGAAACTTCAGGATCTCTTGTGGTATGCCTGCATAGTTCAGAAAACGAAATCTAGTGCCTGCCTTTAAAATCACATATGGATGTGTTAATGTCCATTCAGCATGTTGAAATAGAACCCACAGCTTGGGGTCAAATATCCCTTTTCCTTCCAAGCTCTTCCTTTTTGTACCATTAAAAAAAAAAGACTTAAATTGAGATGATTTTGGAGTATGATACTATTTTAGTGACATGGGATTTTATCATTTTCAAAGCGTGTTAATATAACCATGGATATACCTTTTCATGTCAGGATAAGAGGATGGCATCAGTTACCAGCAGACAAAACCAGCACTGGGGAAATGGGAAGGGGGTGTTCCCAGGAGCATATGTAAAGCTGAATCAGAAGGCCAATGGTTAGAGCTAGCACAGTATATGAAAGAGAGAGGAAACACTTGGAATGAGGAATTACCAAGGCCAAGGTCAGACCTTGTAACAAGGGGAGGGTCAAGGGGGGTGGAGAGTGAGACGCAGAGGCAGGGCCCACTGCCAAGCACCACATGAGGAGGAGCTGAGCTCTCTTGAAGTCATGAGTGCACAAACCAGAATGGGACCCTGGGCTGGCCCATTGATTGATGGGCTCAGCACAGGAGCAGGAAGAGGCATCTTGGACTAAGAACCATGGGTATCAGGCATGTCCCCGGACCAGAGAGGTGGCTGCTGGCTGTCAGGGTCCAGTCTCCTGATGTTGAGGAAAAATATACTTTGCAGAACGTGTCATGTATCCTCCAGGCTCCAAAGTAAAATGGAAAAGTTCATTCTGTGGCACCAGATGTGGGCAACACAACCCCCTCCTCTCCAGTGGACACCATTTAGGGCGTCCAGCAAGCCTGATGGGTAGGTATGTGCAGAGGGGAGTGGTAGGGCTTGGAATTCTACCCTTGGGTTGGTTCCAATACCAAGTTCTCTGACTGGGCCTCCCTCTCCTTAGCTGGAAAGTAAATGGTTTGAGCTAAATGCTCATTCCTGAGGTGGGGGTGGGGGCCCCTTCCACTACCAAAGTATGACCCTAGGGACACCATTTTTCCATTCCACAGGGAGCTAGGGTACACAGTGGAGAGAGCACTGGGCCTAGAGTCAGGAAGACCTGAGTTCAAATGTGGCCTCAGACACTTACTAGATATGGGACCCTGGGCAATTCATTTAACATCTGTCTGCCTCAGTTTCCTCATTTGTAAAATGGGGATAATGGTAGGCCCTACTTTCAAGGGCTGTTGTGAGGATCAAATGAGATAGTATTTGTAGAGCACTTAGCACAGTGCCTAGCACATAATAGGCACTATATAAATGTTGGCTTTATTATTACTATTATTATTATTGCTGGAGATCAGGCATTGCTTCCTTTTTTTCTCCAGCTTCTCCTCACATCCACAGGAAATCCTAGGGCAAAAGGCCCCTTCAATCAGTAATTAAACAAGCCTTTAATGAGCACCTATTGTGTGCACTAAGTACAATCCACCAGGAGAAATTCCAAAGACCACACCTGAAGAATGTCTTCTGGGCGTGATTGAAATTCCCCTCCTGTGGACCAGGACGCCTAACCTGGGGGAGGGGTGGAAAGTTTTCTCTCCCCTTTTGGTGTGGGAAAGTCCTACTCCCTCGGTCGGGTATTCACCTGGGAGTGGGGAGGGCTGAGGCTGCAGAGGCCCCTGGGGAGTTCACACTCCTGTCAATGACCAAGAAAGAAGGATTGTGTTTCCCCATCCTTCTCTAAGGAGCTTCAAGGGAACATTTCTAAGAACTGAATTTTAAAATAAAATGCAAATGGACAATTTCCATTCAAGCTGAGTCGAGCTGCCTCATGCCTTGGATTTCTTCAGTCACCCCGTTTTCATTTAGAGAACTCTGGCTGATGGTGGAATTGGGTGGAGCCGCCCTCAGGTTCAGTGACTGAGCTCGGGGAAAATCTGCCTAAAGTCACTACCATGGCTCAGCCAATGCCAGAGGTGACTGCAGTGAAGAAATCCAAGCCAGAGACGGACCCGACAGATACTTACAGTGGTATCTCTGATCCCTCTTTTCTCCTTTTTGCTCTTTCGGGCCAGGAAAACCTTTAAAAGAGATTCATATTTGCTTTAGAGGAATGGGGGTGGTGAGGTGAGGGTAGGGCGGGGATTACAAGTGGGAAGGTGCTTCAGCACCACCAGAAGGACCCTAATCAAGGGCAGACCTTCAGAGCCCCCCAGAGTGTGGGGAACAGCTGAAGAGGTCGACAAAATGGGTTTCCCCTTTGCCCCACTGGGCCATCCTTCTTTCCTCGTGGCTGCAGATGGGACCCAGAGCCTGAGCCTGTCCCCTTCCTTCTGCTACTCTAGCCCTAGACATGGTTAATATTAGGGAGACAGAATGGCATTTGGGTCAAGGTCTGGACTTGGAGGCAGCTGTGTGACCCCACGCAAGTTACTTAACCCCCGGGCCTCAGGTTCTGTATCTATAAAATGGGGCTAATAGCTGTGATATTGATCTCACAGGGTTGTCACTATCATACTTATAAAAGACATCACAAACTTTAAAGGTTCTTCGTGAATGTCTGCTATCATTTTATGGGTTAGGCTGTTAGACAAAGCAATGAGTAGAACACTGGGCCTGGAGTCAAGAAGACCTGAGTTCAAATCCAACCTCAGACACTTACTAGCTGTGACACCCTGGGCAAGTCATTTCATCTCTGTCTGCCTCAGTTTCCTCATCAGTAAAATGTGGATAATAATAATAAGAGCACTGACCTCCCTGGGTTGTTGTGAGGATCAGAGGAGATAAGAAATATAAAGAGCTTTGCAAATTTGAAAGCATGGTATAAATGCTATTATTATTACCATCATTGAAAGCAGCCCCTGCCTCCAGATCCCAATCCTGGGTCTGGAAGTCATAGGAAGGTGACTTCAGTCTCAACAGGGGATTTGTCCCTTTGGCTAGACTGTTTTCTGCAGGAGACTTTCTGCACTGAGCAGAGTAAGGGAATAATGGGGGATGTACAGATGAGGTTGAAGTTGCCTTTAAACTTTCTTCAGTTAGCCATGGCTCAGAGGGTCTGGACCGGGTGCTGGGAGGAGCGCAGGTTTTTGAGCCAGAGGGCCTGGGTTCAAATTATGGGATCATAGATTTAGAGCTGAAAGTGACCTTAGAGGCCATTAGGTCCAACTTCCTCATTTTACAGATAAGGAAACTGAGGCTGTGAAGGGTTCAGTGAATAATTGCCCTGGGTCACACAGCTGTCAAACTCAGGTCTTCCTGTTTCTCACGGGGTCCAGCATTCTACCCACACAGCTAGTAAGTTTCTGAGGTTGGATTTGAGCTCAGATCTGACTCCAAGTCCAGCACTCCATTCACTGAGCCACCTCATTGACTCCTAAGGTGATCTTAGGCTTCATTAAGATAGGCTTTGTGACCTCAGGTGAGTCATTTTACCATTTGCAGCCTCAGTATACTCATCTAGAAAATGGGGATAATAATCCTCACCACCTCCACCCCCCAAACCCCTCAGAGGAATATGGTAAGGAAAGCCCTTAGAAACTTGCAAGCTCTCTAGGATACAACTATCACCAGGATTACTGACCACTACCCTGATTTGTGCCCAAACCAATTCTCCAGTTGTTTTTTTTCTTTCCTTCCTTCTCCTCCCCTCTTTCTTCCCCCCAGCTCCAATGTTATGTTCCATGTGTTTCTATGTGGTGGCTGTTCGATCAAGATACCTTGTCTTCCCACAATCCCTGGGAGTCCGGGATTGCCTTGGTTCCCTTGGGGGCCTGTCAATCCCCTGTCACCTTTTAGACCTGGAAGACCTGAGGAACCCAAGGAAGAAAAAGAAAGTGACCCAATGTCAGTAATTTGTCCTGCAGAGGTCAAAGCATGCCATGACAACTCACCAACCGGGGGGACTGAGGCGGGAGGGGCATATATTTCTAAAGGGTAACCTGTCAGGCACATATAAGGTACAACTGGCATATGATAACTATGAGTACAAGTGGAAAGAAATCAAGAGCATAACCCCTAGCTCTCATTGCCTTTCCAGACTCCTTGGACAGTTTCACTGAGTAAAGTGAGCCTTGTTCTGCTTGTGCTCAGATGTTTAAGAAAGGGAGAATTCAGACAAAGGTAAGGAAAAGCTTCCTAAGCCATTAAGAGGTGTCCAGAAATGGAAGGGGCTGCCTTGGGGATCTGTGGAATACAGAGTTAGTAGCAAGACTTTTCTGGATGACATTTTTCAGTTGGCAATATAGCTATGACCTCCCACCCCCCCCCCCAGATCCCTGAGGAGATTTCTAGACACTATAACCCCATTTATTGGCTTTTTAAGCTGAATGCTAGGAAGGTCAGGCAAGTGCCAAACTCATGCTTTTCATTTTAAAAAAGTGCTTTTCTGATGAAACCTGGACTGGTCAATACATTGATTAAGGGAGACCCTAAAAAAAAAAAGGCAAATAAAACATAGAGAGAATCCCAGAAGATTAAATAGACAATTTTAGTTACATAAAATTGAAAAGTTTTGCAGAAACAAAATCAATGCAGTTAAAATTAGAAAGAAAAGTTAACTGGGAACATTCTTTCAGCATTTATTTTTTTTTATAAAGGCCTAGTACATATAAGGAATTAGTACAATGTGTAGGAAGAGCCATCCTCAAAGGAAAAACTGTCAAAGGATGTGAACAGAGAGTTCTCAAAATAAGAAAGGCAAGTTCTCCACCACAATCTGAAACAATTTTCAAAATCCCTAATTATTAGAGAAATGCTTAAAACAATTCTGTAGTTCCAACTCTTAGGCTTTTCCCACCCAGGCGTATTCTTCCAGACTTTGTCTTGTCCCTGCACCATACACTCCACCCCCACCTCTACCCACTCCTCCTTTCTACTTCCTTTTGTATGCTATTTTTTTCCATCAGTTTGTCAGTTCCTCTAGGGCAAGGATTTTTTTTGCCCTTCTTTGTATTCCTAGTGCCTGACAGAGTAAGTGATTAATAAATGTTAGCTATTAATAATAATAAATATTTATTAATTGATAGATGGACAAAGATGACAAAATTTTTTGGAGTGGATGTGGGAGAACAGGAACACTAATACAGTACATTGTTGGTGAAGCTAAGAAGTGAACCAGTCATTTTTGGAAAGCAGTTTGGAACTATATCCAAAAATTTGCTGTGTACTCCCTTTGCCCCATCATTCCCACTATTAGAGTGATACCCCAAAGAAGTCAAGGATAGAAGGAAAAGACCTCTATGTCAAAAACACATATAGCCATGGAAAAGAACTAGAAATTAAAATGGATGCCCCTGAATTGGAGACGAGCTGAACAAATGACAGAAAATGAATGTAATGGGATTTTCTTGTACCATGAGAAATGACAAAAGGAATGGATTCAGAAGGACCTTGGAGGAGTCATATGAACAGAGTGAAATGAGCAGAAATAGGAGAATTTGTATAATGAATATAAATGTGACCTTAAACTCTTTGGAGAAGGAAGAAGAATGTCCTGAGGGTCAGTGGATAATAACCACCAAGACCTAGATTGGGGGATAGTATGAGTTTTAGTGCAAGTGGTAGAGGGAGAATTTGGAAGTAGCATGGAGGGCAAGGTGGTATTCTGATTATCCCCAGTGACCGTGGGTCAGGGATTATGAAAGAAGGTGTATCCAGTAATGGAAAGGGTGGCAAGAGATACCATGTCCTCAGGAGGGAACCATGTCAGTGAGGGCCAGAAGGTGAAAGAAGTCTGAAAGAAAGAGTTTTAAGATGAAAGGAAAATTATTCATTATGTAGCAGGCATTCCAAAGGGCACAGTGCAAAAGAAGACCTACAGTGGGACATTGGCAGGGACTGGGGGTGGGTGTAAGGTGGAGATGAATAGGGGTAAGTGAGTGGGCAGCTGGAGATGGGAAATGGAGTTTGTACATTCATAACTGAGCCTTCAGAATCACTGGGATGAGGTGAATATAAGGGGATGGGAGCATGCTAACCACTGAGGAATGAGTCCAGTCAGAATATGAGTGGATGGAGAGGTCCAGTGAAGGAGGGAGGTGATCACACTTCCCTCCCTTGATGAGGTGGTGATTTTTTTGTGGCCTGGGAGGCCCATGGCACAGGAAGCAGGAACAGGTGCAGCTCTGCACGGGAGCCTGTCTAGGAAGTGAGTTTATCTTGTCTGTCCTAAAAAGCCCCAGAAATGAGGGTCTTGCCTCCCTTCCATGAAGCCTGGTGCCAAAGGTGTCTGTCCCTGGAGCAGGGCTTGACGGAAAACAGTGCATGCCTAAAGAAGCCAGTTTGGCTGGAATATAGAGTGCATAAAGGAGAAAAATTTGTAATTAGCCTGGGAAGATATGTTGAAGCCAGATTTTGATAGGATTTAAATGCCAGACACAAGCACATTTGCTGATGTGGCCACACCTCTGCTTTAGGAATTTTAATTTGCCAGGGATCTGAAAGGTGCAATGGAGGAGGGACATATTAGAAGCAGGGAGAACAGTTAAGAGACTATTGCCACTGTGAATGGAGCCTCTGTGAATGGAGAAAAGGTGTGGAGGAAGAAGAATTGATAACACTTGACAAGTAACTGGATACGGAAGGTGAAAGAGTGAAGAATTGAGGATACCTCTAAAGGCATGAACTCAGGAAACTAGGTTGCCTGAACAGAAACAAGAAAGAGAGGAGCAAGGGTGGTTTGAGGGGGAAAGACAGGAAGTTGTGGGTGAGTGCTGAGTTTGAGATACCTAAGGGACATCCGGGGGAGCTGTCCAGCAGTCTGTCAGTAAAGTGAGACTGGAACTATGTAAGCCAGGGAGGCTTCAAGCAGCCTTCCACACTCTCCCCACACCAGCTGGGACCAGTGATGGAGCAGACCTGGGGTAGGTGGAATTACCTTTTCCCCCAGAGGGACTCATCTGAGACTCAGCACTGGACCCTTTGGGAAAAGAGCATGTGGAGTAAGCTCTGAAACTCTGGCGGGAAGCTTTGGAGACCACAGAAAACATCTGAGCTCGTTGTTTCCATGATCTCATTTGAGGGTGGGATCTGTGTTACCGTTATCTTTCTATCTCGCAGTAGTATCTCAAACCCTAAATGCCTTCCTTGCAACTCAGCAGGCACTGGAAAAATGTCTGTCAAATTGAATCCTGAATCACTCTAATGGGTGTTGATATGAGCTCCTTGATACTCATTCATAGTGGTTTGGATTCTTCCAAAGCATATCTCTCCCATATATAAACATATATACAAATAAAATATTGTAAACATATGCACATATATGCACATGTATTCATATGCTCAGAAGCTTTGCCAACTCTCCCCCAAACCCAAACCACCTTAAAACCATTGAAATAATAATAAATCTGGAGTTAAAAGACTTGCATTTGAATACCAGTTCTTAGAAAATCATTTCAGCTCTCTGGGCCTCAGTTTCCTCATTTGTAAAATTCAAGGGCTTGATTTGATAATACCTAAGGCTCCTTTCACCTCAAGGCCTTGTCACCCCAAGACCTCAGTTTGATGCTGGGGCTGCCCATAAGCTACCCCTTCCCGGGTCCAGTCTGCCAATGGTTGCCCAACCAGCAGGACCAAAACCAAACTGGATGCCAAGGTGGGGGATGTTGGGAAGAACCATGGAGCCATTGCCCAATGTTCCTCCCAAGTATTAGACACCTACTCTCAACATGAAGCAGACTCATATGTTCCCACTGCTTTCCAGGGTCCTAAGGATCTTACCATCTGAGATAACTCTTGTAAAGCACTTAGCACAGTGCCTGGCACACAGCAGGTGCTTAATAAATGCTTATTTTCTTTCCTTCCCCTGCTACTTTACCTGCCATAACCCAGGTATCACTGGGCCTCTCCAAATAACCCTTGTTCATGTGCTGTCTCCCTCAGATTAGAGGGTGAGCTCCCCAAAGGCAGGAGCTGTCTCCTTGCCCTCAGACATCTTCATCCTTCTTGGAGGATGCAGATGTAACTGTGGTCACTGGCTGTTCTTCTCAACCAGGTCCCCCATTCTCTGCTTCACTGCATGGAATATGCAGACAGTGACTCAATTTCCATTCACATACCTCTTGGGCCAGTGATGCCAGGAGCCCCCACTTCTCCTTGGGGGCCTCTGTCCCCTCGGTCACCTTTTGGTCCAGGAGGGCCTTGAAAGAAAGGGGTGATAATTGCTGGTCATGACTGGTGATCAGACACACACAGCCCTTCCCCCAGTGGAGAGTGACACATCTTGAAATGTGTCAGAACCTTTCCAGGTCCCACTTTTGTCTGCACTCCACTCACTGAATGAAAGATTGAGGCAGCTAGGTGGCATCGTGGCTATAATGTTAGTTAGGGTCAGGAAGATCCGAGTTCAAATTCTGTTTCTGTCATTTACCAGGCCACTTCACTGTTTCCTACCTCAGTTTCCTCATGTAAAATGGAAATAATAATAGCTCCTATCTGCCATGTTGTTCAGAGGATCAAATGAAAGAACATATATAAAGTATTTTGTAGTCTTAAATCTCCATGCAACGTTTGTTATTATTATTAATCTCATTACTGTTGTTGTAATTAACTCATCCAAGCATTTTAGGTCTTCCACTAACTGGTTCTAACTTTCGAATCCACTTTTACTTACTACCACTACAAACCCCCCCACTCCTATTCATGGAGTCTATCTTCCAGACAACATAAACTGCTCCTCCTGTCAGCAAGACCTGAGTTCAAGTCCAGCTTCAGACATTTCCAAACTGTGGGACCCTGACCAAGTCATGTTAGCTCTATCTTGCCTTTACTTCATCAGTAAGGAAATCAGAAGACCTCAATTTGTAAATATTCTTGGGGGATTTGAATGGCAGTGTAGTCCATTACAAATTTATTTCGCCATGGATTCAGATGTATCATAGGCCAGATGGGCCCAATTATGTAAGAAATAAGTGTTGGCATATTGGCTGAGTTCAGGGATCATAATAATCCTCTGAACGGATGTTGCACATCTCTGGGAAGGGGGGTGCCACTTGAAACATTAGACTACATTGGGGGAGAAGGCTGCCTGTCCTCTCAGCCCAAGGCCAGTCCAGTAGAAAAGCAATGACCTCATAGCCAGCAAGTCTCTCCCTTAGCTGTTGGCCCTCTCATTCATGGTCTGTCTGCCCACTCTTGCCCAACTCTTACCCTTACCCAATTTTCCCAAAGCCATTGGAAAAAGTTTCCCTTTTTCTTGCACTTCCTTCCTACTGCTAAGAATCAACTGGAGAATCTCTAAGTTGAAAGGAGCCTGAGACATCTTCAAGCTCTATCAGTGCAGGCCCAGTGTCCCTTCCCATCATCACTCCTGTTTATGCCCTCTGGGACCAAACAGAACAAGGTTGATCCTTTTCCCCTTGATAACCCATCAAATCACTTGGAGATAGTGATCATGGCATCTCTGCCTTTTTGCTGGGTCAAACCTCCCCAGTTCTGTGACCTCATCCAGGTGTGCCATGGTCTCTAACTTCTTCATTTTGCTGGCCACCCTTCTCTAAATTTGGGGAGTCTTTCTTCATGTGATGCTTCCAGAACTGAACTTGTCATTCTATCAGTGGTCTAAGTAGGGTGGTGATAGAGGCAAATACCACCTCCTCCATTCTGGACACTGCCACTCTTGGTGCAGGCTAAGAACCTGTAAGTTTTTTGGCCATCCAGTGCACTATCGATCTTGTATCTCATTAACCCTCTGCCCAGAACTATTTCAGAGGAGCTGTTATCTAACTACAACATCCTGATAACTTGATTGTGAGGTCAACTTTTCAAACCCAAGTGTCAGACATTCCATTTATCCCTATTAAATTCCATTGTATAAGATTTCATCCTTCCTTTTAGCCTGCTGAGATCTGTTAGATCTCTCTGTTATCCGATATGACAGCAGAGACTGTGTTTGTCTTTGGATTGTGTCAGATTTCTGCCCTACTTAGATTTCAACTTTGGTAAGTACTGACCAGAACTACTCAAAGCTCCAGTTCCCCTTTAGAGGGTTGCTTCTTGTATCAGGACACCCCTGGGGACTTAGATGACTCTGTTCCAGCCCATTGGCAAAGGGTCTATTTTGAACCAGGCAACCCTGTCTTGGGATATAAATGGCTCCAAACTCAGCCATCTATAGATCCAAGTTGGTGTCTGTTGGGAAAGTGAAACAACTTGATATTACCTTGAATTAATGTTATGTTTCTCAATGTCATTGAATGCTCCCAATCTTTTAGTCTAAGGTCATTTGTGATGTTAGCCAAAAGTTTCATTTCTCCTTTGATTTCCTGATTCAGATGGATCTGCTGCTCTTTCAAGGTCATGATTTCTGCTGACACATTGTACACATGCTCCTCCAGCCTCTCAGTCTCCTGGAAAGTGTCACAGAAGGCCAGCAAAATTATTTCATCAGGTGAAGAAATGAACATGTTGTTTATGGTGGATTTTTTTCTTAAACACTGCACCATGTATAGATAGACACTTTTATATAGTTTAGACTTTCTCTTGTCATTCTGTATTCTACCAGTCAGTCAGTTAGTTAGTCAATAAGTATTTAAGCACCTACTATGTGCTGGCACTCTAGTAAGTGCTGGTTACAGCACTTTCTTTACACATACAAAGAAAGGTTTAAAAAATATGATTTTTCAATGGAAATGATACTAGAGATTATTAAAGATTAAAACATTAGTGTGTGCAAAGTACTTTTCTGCATATATGATGTCATTTGATCCTTACAATATCCCTGGGAAGTAGGTGCTATTATTATGCCCATTTTGCATATAAGGAAACTGAGGCTGAAGATATAAAGTAATCATACAGCCAATAAGTGTTTGAAGTTGCATTTGAAAACAGGGCTTTCTGAGAAGGCCAGCACTCTATTTACTGCCCTCTCCCTGCCCCCCATAGTGGTCTTGACTTGCAATGGAAACTTCTTATTTTTGTCACCTCCCCCAGTATAATGTGAGCTCCCTGAAACCAAGATCTATCTTACTTTCTTATTTGTCTCCATAATGCTTAGCATTTGTATGTAGTTAGGGCCTAATAATTTTTTCTTCATTAATTCATTCATTTCCTACTGAGGAAAGGAAAAGAAAAGGAAAATGATGAGAGATAGTGGAAAATGGTACAAGATCGTGTCCCTTTGACAGAGGAGATTCAAAATATGTGGAATCTTCTTCACATCCATCCTCTACCTTTTCTAGAAACCCATTCAATGGATGGAGTGATTGTTAATAATGTCAGCGAAGGTGCTCCTTCTGCTGACAGAGAATCACAGGCCTTGAGAAAGACAGAATCTTGGGAGACCCCTAGCTGAAGTTCTACCAGAACTGGGATTTCCTTGACAACCCATTTTAGTCAGAGATTCTGCTTGGAGACATCCAGTGAAGGGAAGCTCATCATCTCTTGTGTCAGACCATTCTTTTTTTTTTTTGCATTTTTTAATTTTTTTTATGGTAATTTTTATTTATTTTTTTTTGTTTTCAACATTTACTTCCACAAGATTTTGAGTTCCAAATTTTCATCCCACCTCCCCCCTCCTCCCACCCCAAGATGGCATGCATTCTAAATACCCCTTCCCCTAGTCTGCCTTCCCTTCTATCTCTCCCTCTCTTCTCTTATCCCCTTCCCCTTCAATTTTCCTGTAGGGCAGGATGGATTTCTATATCCCATTTTCTGTATTTCTTATTTCCCAATTGCATGTGAAAACATTTTTTTAAACACGTGTCTTTAAAACTTTGGGTTCCAAATTGTCTCCCTTCCTCCCTCCCCACCCACCTTCATTGATAAGGCAAGCAACTAAATATAGGTTATATATGTGCAGTTATGCAAAACACTTCCATAGTAGACACGCTGTGAAAAACTAACTCTATTTCCCTTAATCCTATCCCGCCACCCCATTTATTCTATTCTTTCTTTTGACCCTGTCCCTCCTCAGAAGTATTTGCTTCTGATTACCCTCTTTCCCAATCTGCCCTTCTCTCTATCATCCCCCTATTCTCTTGTCCCTTCCCCTCCCCCATTTTTCTGGAGGGTAAGACAGATTTCCATACCCAATTGAGTGTGTATGTTATTACCTCCTTAAATCAAATCCAATGAGAATAAGAGTCACTCATTCCCTCTCACCTTCTCCCCATTTCCCTTCCACTACAAGAGCCTTTTGTTTTCTGTTTTTCTTTTTTTGTGAGATGATTTACCCCATTCTACCTCTCCCTTTCTCCTTCTCCTAGTATAATCCTCTCTCATCCCTTAATTTTATTCTCCAGATATGACCCCTTCATTTTCAACTCACCCTGTGCCATCTATCTATCTATCTATCTTTCTATATCTCTATATACGTACATATAATTTTTTCCCCTGCAACTACCCTAATACTGACAAAGGTCTCATGAGTTACAAATATCATCTTTCCATGCAGGAATGTAAACAGTTCAACCTTAATAAGTGTTTTATGATTTCTCTTTCCTGTTTACCTCTTCATGTTCCACTTGAGTCTTGTATTTGAAAATCAAATTTTCTATTCAACTCTGGTCTTTTCATCAAGAATGCTTCAAAGTCCTCTATTTCACTGAATGACCATTTTTTCCCCTGAAGGATTATACTCAGTTTTGCTGGGTAGATGATTCTTGGTTGTAATCCTATCTCCTTTGCTCTCCAGAATATTATATTCCATGCCCTGCGGTCCCTTAATGTAGAAGCAGCTAAATCTTGTGTTATCCTGATTGTGTTTCCATAATACTTGAATTATTTCTTTCTGGCTGCTTGTAATATTTTCTCCTTGACCTGGGAACTCTGGAATTTGGCTACAATATTCCTAGGAGTTTTCCTTTGGGGATCTCTTTCAGGAGGAGATCAGTGGATTCTTTCAATTTCTATTTTGCCCTCTGGTTCTAAATTATCAGAACAGTTTTCCTGGATAATTTCTTGAAAGATGATGTCTAGGCTCTTTTTTTGATCATGGCTTTCAGATAGTCCAATAATTTTTAAATTCTCTCTCCTGGATCTATTTTCCAGGTTAGTTGTTTTTCCAATGAGATATTTCACATTGTTTTCTAATTTTTCATTCTTTTGGATTTGTTTTGCAGTGTCTTGATTTCTCATAAAGTCACTAGCTTCCAATTGCTCTATTCTAATTTTTAAGGAAATATTTTCTTCAGTAATCTTTTGGACTTCCTTTTCCATTTGGCCAATTTTGCTTTTTAGGGCATTGTTCTCCTCATTGGATTTTTGGACCTCTTTTGCCATTTGGGTTAGGCTATTTTTTAAGGTGTTATTTTCTTCAGTATTTTTTTGGGTCTCCTTTAGCAAGCTGTTGACTTGTTTTTCATGATTTTCTTGCATCACTCTCAGTTTTTCCTCTACTTCTCTTACTTGCTTCTCAAAATCCTTTTTGAGCTCTTCCAAGGCCTGGGACTGATTCACATTTTTCTTGGAGGCTTTGGATGTAGGAGCTTTGGCTTTGTTGTCTTCTTCTGGTTGTATGTTTTGATCTTCTTTGTCACCGAAGTAAGATAATATAGTCTGACTCTTTTTGTGCTGCTTACTCATGATCCCAGCCAATTACTTGAGTTTTAAACTCTTTGTTAAAGTAAAAGTCTGCTTCCAATGTGGAGAATGTACTGTCCCAAGCTTAGGGGGTTTGTACAGCTGTTTTCAGAGATACTTCTAGAGATCTGAAAATTTTCAGTTCTTCCAAGGTGCTATGATAAGGGACAAGGTGTTTTCTCTCCACAGCCACAACAAGCTCCACCACACCAGCATTCCTCCTCATGCCAGGACCGCCCCTCAGAACCGTGACGCAGATCCAAGTACTGGTAAAGCAAGAGACTCCTGCCTCAGCACTGGCAAAGAGATCCCTGCAATCCCCCTCTAATCAGCCACTCGATTCCCCCTCAGTCTGTGGGCCAGAAGCTCAGGAAACAGCTGTGGCTCTGGGCCGCTCTCAAGACTTGTGGCTGAGACCTAGCTCCTCTCTCACTGCAGTCACAGACTTTTCCCACTGACCTTCTAAGTTGTCTTTGGCATTCGTGAGTTGAGAAGTCTGGAAATAGCCACAACTGCCCACGATTCAGTCCTCTGAGGCCTGCTCCAGGGTCGCTGTGGCTTGCGCGCCTACGCTGAACTGTGCTCCTCTCCCTGCTCGGTGCGATATACCTTTCCAATCAATCATCCAGGCTCTCTTTGGCTGGAAATTTGTTTCACTCTGTCTTTTTGTGGGTTCTGCTGCTTTAGAATTTGTTTAGAGCCATTTTTTATAGATATTTGGAGGGGTTTGGGGGGAGAGCTCAAGCAAGTCACCGCTTTCCCTCCACCATCTTGGCTCCGCCCCCACTTGAGTGGCAGACCACTCTTTAATGAAACCATCGCCAATAAAGAGTGCTTCCAGAGCTAGAGTAGGACAGAAAGGGGAACACAACATGGTCTAGGACTTCTGCTTGGCATGGATGAGTTAATGATAACTGAAAACAACAAAGAGAAAGCAGAGCTTCTCCGTTCTATATTTTATTTATGTTTTTACTACCAAAGATGATAATCCCTACATGGAAAATGTCAGAACAAAAGTAACTAACAAGTAGTTGATGCCAAAGATAATAAAAGAGATATGATGAGAGCTCTCAGCTATCCTTCATGAATTCAAGTACCCTTGAACTGCATGCTCAGATCCTAAAAGAATGGTAGCTGTGACTGCTGAGCAACTGTTAGTGAATTTGAAAGGTGATGGAAACTGAGAAGGGAGTCACAAAATGCAAAATCCCATGTTCTACCCATTTTCCAAAAAAGAGAAGAGTGGTCAAAAACTATAGACCAGCAAGTCTTTCTTTCTTTGGACATTCTCATTTCATTTTCATTCTTTGGACAATTCTCAAATAGATCATTAAAGAGACAGTTCATGAACATCTAGAAGGGGAAGGGGTCATTACAAAGAGCCAGCATGTTTTTCACAAGAACAGGTCATTCCAAATTTGCCTCTTTCTCCCTTTTTTTTGGACTTTTTCATAAAATGGACAAAGAATGGGATGCTGTAGATTTAGTTTTGATGTTACCAAAGCATTTGATAAAAATGTCTCATAGTCATTAGACTATGAACTCCTTAAGGGAAGGGATTCAACTTTTTCTCTGTTTTGTACCCAGCACTTAGAACAGTACCTGGCACATAGTGAGCATTTAATAAATGCTTACTGATGGACTGATTAAGGAATCAAGAGCAATGGGTAAAATTGTAAAGAGGCCAATTCATCCTTGAAGTCAGGAAAAACTTCATAGCATGTAGACTTATCCCAAGATGCAATGCATTGTTTCAAGAGGTGGTGGCAGAAGCTGGATGACCACTTGTCAACTATGTTTTGTCCCAGTTCGAGGGCAAAGAGAAGCACTAGTGCTTGTAGCTACAGGAAAGACTAGCGTGAAGAATAGGACCACATCTCTTCCTGGATCACACCACCTTTGAAGCACTAAAAACTTACAGGCCCCTAGAACTAGCTCTGAAAATAGTAGTGGAAAAAAGTCTGAAGCTTGGAATAGTTCCTCCCCACCTTCACATGAGCAGAGCCCAACTTTGACATAAAGTTCAAAGTTAAGGTGGAAAAGCTGGGGAAAAAAATGAGTAAACAATAAAAAACCTGAAGATTAAAATCTATATGGTGACAGGAAAGATCAAGACACAAACCAAGAAGACCACAATGTAAAAACAGTTACAAACAAAGCCTTAAAAATGAATATTCGACAGTAGCCCAACTAGAATTCCTGGAAGTGCTAAAGAAAGCTATAAGAATGGTAGGTGAAAGATTGGGGAAAGGAATGAGAGTGATGTGAAAAATTTATGAAATGAAAATTAACAGCTTGGTAAAATAGGCACAAAAATATTACTGAAGAAAATAACACATTAAAAAATAAAAATGGCCAAATAGTGAAAGAGGCACAAGCATTCACTGAAGAAAAGAACTCCTTAAAAAGCACAGCTAGCCAATTGGAAAAAAGAAATATAAAAGTTCTATAAATAATTCCTTAAAAATTAAAACTGGATGAATGGAAGCTAATGATTCCACTAGACATCAAGAAACAGTAAAACAAAATGAAAAGAATGAAAAAAATAGAAGAAAATATGAAATATCTCATTGTAAAAACAACTGACATAGAAAATAGAGTGACAATTTAAGAATTATTAGACTACCTTAAAGCCATGATCAAAAAAAGGGCCTAGACATCATATATCAAGAATTATAAAGTAAAAATGCCCTGATACCTTAGAACCAGAGGATAAAATAGAAATTGAAAGAACCTACTGATCATCTCCCAAAAAAGATCCCAAAATTAGAACTCCCAGGAATATTGTAGCCAAATTCCAGATCTCCCAAGTCAAGGAGGAAATATCACAAGAAGACAGAAAGAAGCACTTCAGATATTATGAAGTCACAGCCAATAGGACACCAGATTTAGTAGCTTCTACTTTAAAATAGCAGAGGGCTTGGAACATGATATTCCAGAAGGAAAAGGTTGTAGAATTACAACCAAGAACAACTTGTCCAACAAAAATGAATATAATCCTTCAGGAGAAAAAGTGGGTATTTAATGAAATATCTTTCAATCATGACAAAATGACTTTCAAGCATTCCTGATGAAAAGTCCAGAGCTGAATAGAATACTTGACTTTCAAATACAAGACTCAAGAAAAGCATAAAAAGGTAAACAGGAAGGAGAAATCATAAAAGATTCAATAAAGTTATGCTGTTTACATTCCTACATGAGAATATAATACTTGTAACTCCTAAGAACTTTACCATTATTAGGGCAGTTAGAAGCAGTACAGAGAAAGAGGGCACAGCTGTGAGCTAATTATATTGGGATGATCTAAAAAAAAATGAAGAGATGAGAAAGAGGGATACCTTGGGAGAAGAAGGGAAAGAGAGAAGAAAGGGGGAAATTATCTCACAAAAAGAGGGGGCAAGGAAGAACTTTTATAGTAGAGGGGGAAATGGGATCTTGGGCAATTCTTGAACCTCACTTATAGAAATTGGTTCAAAGAGGAAAAAGTACACACACATACACACTCAGCTGGGTATAGAAATCTCTGTTACCCTACCAGGAAGTAGGAGAGGAAAGAGTAAAAGGTGATAAAAGGTAGGGAAAATTAATGTAATCAGTGGTCAGAAGCAAAACAGACTTTAGAGGAGGGATAAGACAAAAAAAAGAGTGAAGGATAAACAGAAGAAAATAGGATGGAGGGAAACACACAGTTCATAATCAAAACTTTGAATGTGAATGGGATGAACTTATACATAAAACAGAAGTGGGTAGCAGAATGAATTAAAAACCAGAATCCAACAATATGTTTACACTTGAAACAGAAAGACAAATATACACTAGAGAGTTATAACAAGGAGATGTAGCCAAATTTGTTATGCTTCAACTGAAGTAAACAAGGCAGAGAAAGCAATCATGATCTCAGACAAAGCAAAACCAAAAATAGGCCTAATTAAAAGAAATAATTAGGGCAACTAAATTTTGCTGAAAGGTACCATGGACAATGAAATAATATCAATCCTAAATATATCTGCACCAAATGACAGAGTATCCAATTTCTTAAAGTGAAAGCTAAATGAGTTACATGAGGAAATAGTAAACTATATCAGTTGGAGACCTCAATTTCCTCTTCTCAGAACTAGATAAATCTAACCATAAAATAAGAAAGAAGTTAAGGAGATTAATAGAATTTTAGAAAAGTTAAGCATCATACACCTTCTGGAGAAAATTGAATGAGAACAGAAAATAGTATTATAAATGCTTTGCTCAATTATATATGGCATCTTCACAAAAAGTGACCATGTATCAAGGCATAAAAACCTCACAAACAAATTAAAAAAATCAGAAATATTAAATGCATGCTTTTCAGACCATAATACAATAAAAATTACATCCAATAAAGAACAGTAAACACATAGATTAAAAATTAACCAGAAATTAATCTAATCCTACAGAATGAGTGAGTCAAAGAATAAATTATAGAAACAATAATTTCATTAACGAGAATGACAACAATGAGCCATCATACTGATGGGGTGCTTGGGTCTTGTACTCAGACCCCACTTCCAAGACGTATTTCTCCCTAGCCTCAAGACACTATCCCTGACAGTTTCTCTCTAGCCCAAGGACCCTATCTCTGGCAATAGCACATAAGTGGGCCCAATGAGGCATATTATCTTCTCCTGTTACAAGAACAAGCTGGCCTCTGTAGGATTTCCCTTGTATGAACAGGACTATCTTGTATCAGCAGAACTATGAAGTACTGATGTCCACAGTTACCATATACAATCCAGAGGTCAAGCTATAGACATCAACTCCTGAAACTATCTTGTTATAGACATAACATACCAAAAATACACCTTTTAGGAGCCCCCTCTCCCCACCCCAACCCCATTTCCAGTAGGGAATGATGCCTGTGACCAAGGTTGTAAGTTATCACCTAATTAGCATGCTTGGCACATAATTCATTATTTTTCCTATATAAGCTTTAGTATCATTCCTGTTAGGTTGCAAGTTCCCTAAGGAGCTCTGCCCCCCACGGCAGGTTCCTTCAGAATCCTTGTTCACTGTATTGCATAACAATAAATCTTTGCCACCTTGACTTAAAGAATACTTGAGTCTGTGAATTCTTCCCAGACAACCCAGTCCTATACTCAGGTCCTCAAGGAATCTCTTAATCTCTCAGAGGGCAACAATACCAAAATTTGTAGTATGCAGCCAAAGCAGTAGTTAAAGGAAAATTTATACCTCTAAAGGCTTACATCAATAAAAAAGAGAAAGAGCAGATCAATTAATTGGGCATACAACTTAAAAAAAAAAAACTAGAAAAAGAACAAATTTAATATTCTCAGTTAAACACCAAAATTGAAATCCTGAAAATCAAAGGAAAGATCAGTAAAATTTAAAGTAAAAAAACAAACAAGCAAATCCCAAAACATTGAACTAATAATTAAAACTAGGAACTGGTTTTATGAAAAAATAAAATAAAATAGATAAATCATTGGTTAATTTGATTTTAGAAACAAAGAAAATCAAATTACCAGTATCAAAAATGAAAAGTGTGAATACACCACCAAGGATAATGAAATTAAAACATTATTAGGAGTTATTTTGCCCAATTACGTGCCAATAAAACTGATGATCTCAGTAAAATGGATGGATATTTATAAAAAACATAAATTACTTAGATTAACAGAAGAGGAAATAGAATATTTAAGTAACCCTGAATACTTAAGTAATGACTGAAATGACTGAAAACCAACAAAAGACAATAGTATAATATTCGTTGTATTTAGTCATTTTCCAGTCATGTCTGACTCTTCATGACCCCCTTTAGGGTTTTTGTGACAAAGATACTGGAGGTTTGCCATTCCTTTCTCCAGGTAATTTTACAGATGAGGAAACTGAGGCAAACAGGCTAAGTGACTTGCCCAGGGTCACACAGTTAGTGTCTGTGAGTCTTTCTAATTCCAGGCCTGGCTCTCCATTCACTACACCACCTAGTTGTCCCTAGTATAACATAATATACATCTAACACACAACATGTCTATTCCAGCAAAGTGTTATCCATATGTGTATTTTCCTGTTCTTCAATAACATGTGATTTCTCAATATTGGGCACTCCTTCCACTGCTGAATCAGACCATAACTCCTCTAACTTAGCTGATGGTTGTAGATCATAACTGAAACTGAAAACATCCTTTCCCCCTCCTGTGATCAAGCTAGGGATGAGCTTCTTACTCTGAGCTCCCCAAGCCAAATATATCTGATCCATTACCAGGCATGGACCCAAAGCCTTTCCAGTTTGGCAGGATATCACAGAACTTCCACACTGTCAGCACATTATTGAAGAACCCAGGGTCATTTCTAAGTCATGATGAGACATTATTTGTGAGACTCCAGTGAAGGAATCATTTGTAATATTATCCCTTAAAGATGCAGAAAGAGACTGACCTAGATAATCCACCTCTGCAATGCTATGAGATTCTAGTCACTTTGGTAGTGTTTATATTATTATTGTTTCCTTCTTGTCTTATTGGGAAAATGTGAGCAAGATGTCTGAGCATCAAAGTAGCTGGCTGAGTGAGCAGACCTGACATGGAGAAAAGCAGCTTTTGAGACATTGATTTGGAAGGCTTTTTGTAGCTAACCTGCCCTGACTCTAGAGACCCAGTCCCCATCTGAAAGTAGGCTATCCTTCTTCAATGTGACCTTTAATGCACAAACACTTACCTCCTGCTGTTTGCGGATGTTCCCTTGACAGGTGCCTTTCCAGCTCTCTATATCGAGCTGAATTTCAAGTAACGTGGCATTTAAGTTTGCTACAGAGTTGATGACAGCAGCTAGCACTCCTCTTTGAGTGTGGACAGCAGAGATGATGGAGCTGACCTGAAGGAGAAGGTCCTCAAATTTCTGCTCCATCTTTATGCTGAGGTTCTGGAAAAGTTGGGAGTGCAGATTTGCTTCTAAATCTGAGATCTGTTGAATCTTCTTGTCTAAAGTGTCGTTGTGATCAGATACCATTTTCAAGGTCTGAGCTGTGGAGTCCAGGAAAATGACAATGATCATTGCTCATATCACTAGGTACATAGATAGAAGTCAATTACAGTCACTGAATTGCAGATGTTTGGAATCAGTCAATCAACAGTGTTTCATTTAGCACTCACGATGTGCCAGGATTTGGGTAAAACATTTGAGATACAAACACAGAAACAGAATAGTTCTTGACCGAAGGAGCTTGAATTCTAAAAGGGAGGGTGCAGCATGTTAATAGATAAGTATGGAACCTGCCTTTGGCCACCCCTGAAGAGGCCAGAGAGACCAACCAACTGGATAAACAGCACCCAGGCTCCCCATGAATGGCTCCCTCCTCAATTTTTGGTTAAGTGTTTGTGGGTAGCAGACCAGGAAACCACCCAAGCAGACAGAAGGGAGAAGCCATTGTACACAGGAAAAATGAATTCAGAGCTGTCATGGATTCTTCCACACACATATGCCTCTTTCTTTCTCTCTATCTCTGTCTCTGTTTCTCCCTTTGTCCCTCTCATCTACTCTGTCTCTCTTTATCTCTGTCCTTCTCCGTGTCTCCTTCCTTCTGTGTCTCACATTGTTTCTATCTCTCCCTTCCTCACATCTTTCATCTGTCTCTCCATCTCTTCCTCCCTGTCTGTCTTTGTCTTTCTCTTAGTCTCTGTGTGTATGTGTGTGTCTGTATCTCTGTTTCTGTCTGTGTCAGTCTCTGGCTGTGCCTCTCTGCCTCTGTGTCTCTGTCTGTCTCTCTCTTTGACTCTGTCTATGTGTCTATGTCTCTGTCTATGTCTGTGTCTCTCTCCTCCTCTCTCTCTATGTCTCTGTCTCTCCCTTCTCTGTTGCTCATCTTCCCTCCTCTCTTTCTTTATTCTTTCTTTGTCTCTCTCTCCTTGTGTCTCTGTCTCTCTCCTCTTGTCTTCTGCTTCTTTCTCTCTCTCCCCATCCTCTCCCTCCTCAGTGCTTTCTCTCTCTCCCTCTCTCTACACCCTTTCTCTTTGTATAACTGTCTCTTTTGCTTTCTGTTTTTATTTCTGTTTTTCCTTTCTTCTCTGCCTTTCTCTGTCTCTTTCTTTATGTGTGTGTCTCTTTCCATCTCTCTCTTGATTCCTCTCTGTCTTTCTGTCTCTGTCTCTCCACCCCCTTTTTTTGTCTCTCTGTGTCTCTCTCTTTATCTTTCTTTCACTGTGTATCCTCTCTGTTTCTGTCTCTCTGTCTGTCTCTGTCTCTTTCTGTCTCTCTCTATCTCTATTTGTCTCTCTGTCTCCCTCCCTCTCTCCCTTGCTGTCTGTCTGTGTCTCTTCTCTCTCTCCTCTTTCTGTCTCTGTCTCTCCTCCCCCAATCCATGTATGTATATATGTTTGTCTCTTCTTTTGTCTGCCACCTCTTTCTCTCTCTCTCTCTCTCTCCTCCTCCCTTCCTTGGTGCCTCTTTTCCCTCTCTCCCTCCTTTCTTTCCTTTCTTTCTGTCCCTCCTTCTCTTTCTCTCTTCTTCCTCTCCCTCCCCCTCCTTTTCCCTTTCCTTCCTTCTCTTGTCTTTCCCTCCCTCTCCCTCCCCTCCTGTATCTCTAGGGAGGAAATTAAATGTCTCCAGTTATTACACACTTTATACTCACTGCTACCCCTGGCTCAGGTGATGTCAACCTTTGTTCTAAATGCAGATTTTTGTTGTGAAGGTTTTAACAAATGACACAAATGTTGGCCAGCATAAACTCAATCTGTTTGTCATATTTGATGCATGGCTCATGAAAGGGAGAAAAAGCATTGTCTATTTGTAAAATGAAATATTTAGCTCAGAGGAAAAGGTCTGGACCTAAGATCTGGAACCATTAGAGAAACATAGGAATACTGATAGTGGACTTTTGCAAAATGGATAAAATAATCTGAGACCCAGATATTCATAATAAAAAAAAATCCCAAACCAAAATAACATCAGCAGCAAAAGCACAAGTCTGATAAAAGGTTCAGGAAGATTGAGGAGCAGCCATTTGGGGGGTGGAGGCAAATAGAAGTTGAAAAGGAAGTCACACATCTGGGAAGGGAAGGGGACTGAGTTACCAGTTAGGCATCACTCACATAAAACCTGGATCATGATAAGCACTTGTAAAATGTTTGTAGATGGATGGATGGATGGATGGATGGATGGATGGATGGGTGGGTGGAAGATTCAGTTACCTGGGCATATTCAGGCAAGTCCTTTGACTTGGGGAAGATTGATTCCTCATTGTACCTTGCTTATTATCATCATCAGGTAGTTTTAAGTACATATAGTATATATATACAAAATAAATGTACAGTGATTAATACCCAGCCCCAATCATTTTCAGACAAATTCCTGTCTCACCAGACTTCCCTACTGGATTTGTAAAGGTGATAAAATCCAAAGAAACAGATCTTAAAATTGAGTCTTTACATTCATCATGACTGAATTCCATCCTACTTAATCTCAGCCAAGGTTCTAGACCATGGAAGCCTTTGGGGCCCATGATTCTCATGGTTATTCAAGTTTGCCCTGTTGGGGTAATTCTGGGCTCTTCACTGCTCCTCGCACCCCAAATCCAAAACCTTGGCAGATCTTGCCGATTTGAGCTCCACAAAATCTCTTCTCTATCTCCTCTTGTCTCCACTCTAGCAGCCCCGACTCGAGTTCTAGTTCTCATCAGCTCTCACCCAGACTCTCCTTATAATAACTTCCTAAGTTGTTTTCCTAGCTCAAGTTTCTCTCCTTACCAGTATAAGGGCAACAACAACCTAGATAAGTGGATTGGAGCTAGAGTAGGAAGAGCATGAAATACCAAACAGAGGAGCTTGGATTGGATTCCCTATAGACAACAGGGGGCCCCTTGGAAGCTGTTTGTTTGCTTTGCTTTGTTTTCAGCAAGTAGTGACATGGTCAGTTCTATAAAACTCAGATGCCAAAGTGATATTCTGAGAGAGGAAGGGGGAGGGAGAAGGAGAAAGAGACAGAGACAGAGACAGAGAGACAGAGGCACACAGAGATAGAGATAGCTAGAGAAGAGAGACAGAGGCAGGACAGAGAAACAGAGACAGAAAGGTGGGAGGAGATGGAGACAAACAGACACAGAGACAGAAACAGAGACAAAGACAGAGAAATAATCAGACTGAGACATAGACAGAGATTTAGGAGAGAGAGGGAAAGAGACAAAGGCACAGAGGGAGATAGACAGATGCAGAGAGAGAGACAGAGACAGACAGACAGAGAGAGACAGAGACAGAAAGACAGAGACACAGACAGAAAGAAAAACTGGCTGGCTTGTTCCCTTCACCAGGGATCCAGTGAAGTCTGGTTTTATTTTTGTTTTTGTTAGACGTTATGTCAGAATACAGGGCTGCTGTCTATACTCCTCTTCCTTCCTCTGGCCTTCCCATTTGTACTTCTTTGAGAGGGGAAGAGCACACAACCAGACACTGAAGATATCTTGGCTAGATGTGGCCAGGAGCAACTGAAGTAGTGCAGCTACCATGACTCCCATGGACTGAGGGCTTCACATAAACACACACACACATGCATAAAACATATACGCACACATACACACAAAATACACTGATGTTGACAAATGGGACCTGCCTAAGTCCAGAGAGACAGTGCCAGGAAAACTGAAAAAAGTTGATGTGGCTTTGTTTCCTGGAGCACAAATTGCTAGATCATTGCTCCCATGAATACTTTACCTGTAACAAATCCAGTGATTGGGATCAGAACCCCAAACACAAAGAGATAAAGGCCAACCAGTGCGATTTTGTGGGACTTCAGCTTTTCTTGCAATCCAAAGACAGTGGGAAGATCTATTAAAAAAGATGTACAATTCAGAAAACTGGTTATGTGGCCCAGGCAGATCACACTTAACTCTTACTGAACATTAAATATTGAAAACAATTTAATATTATCATTCTCTCCAAATATATTCCTTAAATAAAAGGCAAATCTAGAATCAAAGAAAGTGAGCAGGTGGAAGTGAACTCAGACGTCATTCACACAGGGCTGAAAGTGTCAGCCATTCTAAGCTATGCTGGTCTCTTAGAGAAAGCAGTGGTCATGAGCTTCTTGTGGAAGGGGCAGGGATGATGGGGTTGAAGCTCAGGCCACAGAAATCCCAGAAACTGAACATACTCAAGACATCCATTTCATGAAACATGACTCACTTTCTGGAAGCCTTGCCATCATAGTCCTAGCATCAAATCGCACTGAATCTGAGCAGTTGTCTGAAGGACAGTTCTCATTCTGTTCATTGGGAAGTATATTCCACTTTTCCATGACTGTCAAAAAAAAAGAAAGATAAAAAGTGTATTTCCATATGCAACACGAGTGAAATGGTTACAGAGCAAGCCACCTTGGAGTCATTTTGGCATAAAATGGTAAATTATGATTTATAATTATGATTCAGTTTTAATGGGTTGTAAAATCTAAAAATTAATGTGCTGGAATTAAGCATATTCATTCTCCTAGCCACCTGTTATATTTATGGTAAAAGGCAGTTTTATTTTCTACATTAAAGAAAATATAACAAAATTATGTCCTTATGGGTTTATAACCCCCTTAGTGGGGTTGAGGGAAGTATAATTGGCCCATACTTGTAAGAAAACAGAATATTCGCCCATTTCTTGGGGGATGGGCAGATAGGCACCCCTAGGTTTTCAGACACATTTGGTATCTCCATTTATTGCTTGACTGTATTTATTTGCTACAAGGAAGGGAATTTTGATAATTATTAACATTAATAACAAAAAGTAATATAATGAGACAAACATGTATCCCAGAAAGAATATGGCTAATAACACTGCCCAATATGACCTGAACCAGATGACTATGTGATTGGGAAACACTTAACAAAAAAATAAAATAAAATATAGACAATGTTAATTTATGGCTTTCTAAGTCAATCTGTGACCTCCTTATGTATGGCTTTGTGACCTCCGTTTCTATTTCTATTTAAACCATTGATTTAAATCAACAATGGGATGGAAATAACCCTTTGGGTTAAAAACTAAACACACTCATTCATTCATTCATTCAATGAGCATTCATTAGGTGCCTGCTGTATGGGAGGTCCTAGGCTGAGTTCGAAGGAAGGAAGGAAGAATAATGATGTTCTTGTGACATTTGCCATTGGTTGGCAGGGAATAAGAAGGGCAAAAATGACTGCTAGATGTAAGCCTGTCCTGAAGACAAAGGATAAGTCCAAAGAAAAGATATTTGAAGGAGAGAACCTTCACCTATGGGGTTCAGTGGTATGTGGATGGTGCTTCTTTCAGGTAGGAGGGACAGTGCGTTCCAAGGCATCCCACTCTCACTCTCCCATCCCTGCCCTGATGCTGCCCTTCTTGCCCCCAAGATATTGCAGGGTATATGTTCTAACTTTTTTTTTTAACACATCACATCTCCAGTGCCCTTTAAGTAACCAAATAACATTTTTTTATTCCAAATCCTCAAATGTTGGGACTGGGAGAAACCTTGGAGATCGTTGTGTTTGGCTCTCTCTCTCTCTCTCTCTCTCTTTCTCTCTCTCTCTATCTATCTATCTCTCTCTATCTCTATCTCTATCTCTCTCTCTAACAAATAACAAAACTAGGCCCTTAGAGGTTCAGTACCAACAAAGCTTGTAAGTGGCAGTAGCAAAATTCCAGCCCAGATGTTCTGACTTCAAGCCAAGTGAGCCTTCCAGTGGACCACACTTTGCATGGAAAATGGTTAAAACCATATGATGTCTAAATTTAAAGTAACCCTGGGGTCTTCTGACCATTTCTCATGTCCTTTCACTGAAATAAGAAAATGAGCACTTTCAAAAGATTTGAAAATGTGGACAGTCAGCTCTGGGAACTGAAATCTACAGCCAAGTCCCAAGTCAAAATGTCAGTCCTTCTTCTACCACACTCCAGCCCCTTCAACTTTGATTTAGCTGAAAAACAGTCAGCTTGACTTTGCCAATTTCCTGTCATTCCTTATTTTTGTAAGTGGTTATGAAGTTTCCATTTGTTCAATTTTTGCGAATTACTTTCACTTCGTATAATCATTTGTTGATGAATTCAAAAGAAGCCTTGTTATTTCTTATAGAAACATTGCTTTCCAATCCCTTTTCTGGCAAAGAGAAACAGAGAGCTCACCAGATCTTTGGTGAAATTGAGGGGCAGAAATAGCCAATATAAATCTTCTGGCCAGTTCTCTCCACTTCCTAAAGCATCCCTCATTCACCGGTTTTTAAACCTAAAAAATTTCATCTGAAAGGGAGACAATCCCAGTGACTGTTTTCAGAGATGGCAGGTCTGGGATCATAGGACTGAGAACCTGAAAGGATAATGCCCATGTTTTCAAAGCTTCAAATTCAGAGACCTTTCCTTGGCCCCAGCTACTGACTCAGCCAAAACAGAAACCCTGCTTTCTCTGGGTTCCTCTCCTTTCCTCCTTCATGACCAAACATCAAGGCACCCCATGAGCAGTGTGTTGATATCCAATCTTTCTCAGTGCGACTGACACATTTCCTTGACTCCCTACTTCCTGTCAAATCTTTATTAATCTGTAAACAAACTTGGATGTGCCTGGGAGCTAGAAATTTACTTGAGGCCAGGTCTGACTCAGGTCAATCTGGTGGCTAAGGTTTAGGATTGAAATGAAATGCAACACTCATAGACCATGCAGAGTTAACAAAAGAAGGTTTCTTTTACTTTAGTGTGCTAGCAAGGATATAGCATTGGCTCACAGTTTCTTTGCCTTGGCAGTGTGCTGGTCAGAAGCATGTGTAAAGCTTAAGGAGCCAATAACTCCTCATGTGCTGGCTTTTGTACTTAGGATGTCTGGTAGCTCCAACTCCTGGACCACTTAATAATGGAGAAAGGTAATTTGGGGACCATTTAAGAAAAAAAAAACCCTAGCTTCTTCTTTGTGGAATAGATATTGTTCCTTTACCAGCATGGAGACTGGAATGGGGAGTCACATTGTAAAGAGGGTATCTAATCACACTGAACTTGCACTTAGTTAATGTGGCTTAATGTTAAAATAGTAGGTATTCCTAAAGCTAAAACTGGAGGGAGAAGGATCCAAAGGTTATGTCTCCAGAAAGGTTCCCATTTGCTCCTTTATTTCCATTCCAACCCATGCTTTTCCATCATTCCTGGGGACTTCACTATCAGTGTTGCTGACTGATCTAAGCCAGAAGCACACAATTCCTAAATGCCAATAATCTCACTATTCACCTCACTTGGACCACCTACAAGTGTGGTTTTCTAAAGGATCACCAGCTTTCCTAATGGTCTCATCCCCAACAGACTGAACTTTGCTATTCACCAAACTCATAGACCTCAAGTTCAACGCTTTCATTTCATGGAACAAGACAGAAAGGTGGAGTCCCACAGCTAGTAAGTGTCTGAGGCAGCATTCAAATCCAGCTCTTCCTGACTCCTAGTTCAGAACCACCCACTATACCATACTGTCTCTCTTAGTTCCTTTCATTAAACCACAACCTTTTGTCCTTCCATCTCACTTTCTGTCCTACACCTACTAAACTTACCGCAGACTGTCCCAAGCTATCAAAGCTTAAAACTGCTCTAAGACTTTTGAAGCACCCTGTATTGGTGTTTACCTTTTAACCAATCCATATTTTTCCAGTCCATCTCTCCAAGTTTGATTTCCTGTGCTTCCACACCCACCCATGATCTAACTTTTTAGGATTTCATTTTTGATTTTTCTACAATCCCTAGACCTTCATGTCAGTAAGTCATCAAGAACTTGTTAAGCACCTATTCTGTGCCAAGCGCTGTGCTAAGTACTGAGGATATGAAGAAAAGCAAAAATAGTCCCCATCCTCAAGGAGCTCTCAATGGGACCTTCCACCATTCCTGATTAGTCAATAGCAACCCCTTGACAGGAGAAATGATGCAAAGGATGCCATCAGAGAAATATATAACCAGAGAAAAAGATGGCCCAATCACATGTGAATGAATGAAAAAACATTTATTATTACACACTCACCATATGCCAGGCACTGTACTACATGCTGGTATGTATGTAGGTGCTTGACAAATATTTGCTGACTATTGAACTAGCTAGCCCCTGAGGTCCCTTCAAGATCTGAGTCTATGATGCTAAGAGTTGGACTGATTGTTCTGTTCCATGTTAGGCCTAGCTAATGTCCTGCACCTCGGACACTTGCCCTGCTCTCTACAAACAGCACTCAAGGTTAAGGAAGCTCCCTACATGCCACATTGCAAATACATTTCTAGATGATTGGAGAGTCTCTGGGAGACTGACTGGTCAAATCCACTTACAAATACAAGCAAGCAAAACAGTCCTTGACCTTGAGGAGCTTATATTCTAATAAAGGACATTGTCTAAAAAGCAAGGGATGACCAGCAGCTAGCCCCCATACTCTGTCAGTATCTGTGCAATGTCAATAGAATATGAAGGAAGCACTCAACATGTGGGGTGGAGTTGTGGGAGAACCTGGAAAACAGTCTCACCAGATAAGCAGACATGGATGGGTTGGAATCTCCTCTCCTGCAGGGAAAACCCACCTTGATGAGATCACAGGAGCATTAGAGCACTGGAGTATTCCCAGGTCATCTCCACAATTCAATCCTACTCCATAGCTGCTAAGGGTTCTTGGAAAAAATATTAAAATCAAATTGATTCTAGCTACTACCAACTTGTGCCATGGCACCTCAACTTGGCCTTGGTTCCTTGAATATTTAAATGGATCCATTATCTCCTCAAATGGCAACTCTTTCCTTTGGTGCAGATTGTAGCCCACGCAGGTACACATATCATCCTGTGTAATTCTTTTCTATATCTTTTTTGTTTCAGCCAAACTGGGCTATGGTGTCACTGAACAAGTTAGTCAGTCAATGTTCTTGTTTGTCCTTCATTCTCAAAGAGGACCATGGCATCAGGAAGGTGACTTGCAAATTAATTGTCATGACTTAAAGGTGAATTGAATTTAAGTGAGGGACTGTGCAAAGTCATCAGGCTCATTTTCTCCTCCAGAGCGATTTGAGTCCACTGGCAAGATAAAAATCAGAATGACTAGAGATGGCCCCTGATGCAGTGGGAGACCTTTATAAGCTAAGATCTTTCCAGGTCTCAGTTTGACTGAGGGCTGGGACCTATCGTTGACCAATCAATAAGAGCCAGAGTGAATTGGGTTTAAGGCATGGACCTTAAGAAAGAAATCTAGCCTGTAAACCCCAAGATATCTTTCGAGGTTTCAGCAATCAAAATTTACATTCCTTTGGGCAGAGCACTGGCAGGTAAGGGTATGATTCCCTAT